AGCCTTTCATTGCATCCCTTGATGTATAAATTGTTGATACTAATACTACCTTTAATCTTCCGCTTGTGACTGATGGCTTTCATACGCTATAATTTACAATCATAAATCTTAAGCACTGCCAGCTTAAGTAGCATTTATGTTACAAACAAAAATGCAATATATGACTTCAATAAGTATTCTTTAGACACAGGGCTTTATCAAGAGCGTTCATCTACATTAAGCTAATAAACGATCTCAACGTTAGAACATTCTTTTTTCTATACTGTGGTAGTATTTTTAGAACACCACTCATTAAAATTTAAGTCTTTGGCTGAAGTTTAAATTTCCTGCACGTCTTCGTGCAAATATTGTAATATACTGCCCTTGGTTACCACGCAAGCTGTCTACCTCTACTCTTAAGCTATATACAACCGTGTTAACTATTGACAATATTAGTTTCCATGTAGAAATAATTGTATCACCATATTTCATATATTCTAATTGCCTTATCTGCGATATTAAATTTTCTGCTTATCGTATTATTGCAAAGTTTATGAGATACATTCAGTTGATGTGACCTAAATACAGGGTTTTTTTGCATTTGCGCAGTATTTACCATTTTTGAGATTTCTCTAAATCATTCACACTTTTTCAAAATGTGTCATTCACCAGTTTCATACTAGAAATTCACCTCAAATAAAAACACATTGTAAACAGAAAATACTAGTACTGTAGAAGTTCATGAGTTAGGGAAATCATGAAATATTCTTCCAGTGAAGGCTTCACTGGCTGGGGTCTTTAAATGGGAAAAGTGACTTTTTATATGAAATTTTAATGATTTACATACTTTTTATGACAAATGCATTTCACTGCCATTATTGACTGTTATTGTCAAATTTCATAAAATTGTCAAAATGTATTTGTTTTCAAGTTGATCAACATCATATTCCACCTATGTGATTCAAAACTAAGAATGTCTTTATAAATAACAAAAATAACCTTCAAATATTACAACATACCGTATTACATGTTATAAGATTTATATTTCATTCACCATTCATACACTCCTCTAGAAATAGTGTCCCCCTTTCTCCCAAACAAAAATTGGGGATTAATGATCTGCTATTCACTTAATGCTTCACAAATGTCCCAGATTTCAAATCTTTCCTCTGACATACATTGTAAGTTACAATTTTAAGATTCAATCATACTTCCATAAATGCCACTTAGCTGCAATTTTCATCTTACATTAAAAAACTGGTGACCGAATGAATTCATCAAAATTACCAGTTTTCCCACAAAATTTTCTAATTCCTCATTGTAAATTATACAACAAATAAAATTAGGTATAACTGTCATGTTCATATAATGTTATCAATGTATTTGCTCCATCAGAATGTTCAATCATTGCAACAA